GGCTAATTAATCCAAAATGAACATCAAGACAAATCAAACTCTGAATGCCAATTTTTACAAAATTTAAAATTAAAATGGTCCCGAGAATATAAAAGTAAAGTAAAGTAGTTCACTGACCATTTATAGAAGAAAATGTTGAATGCTCTTTGTCATAATGGAAATGTTTGTTAAAAGATTGCAGTGACAAAGTTCAATATCAACATTTTCTAAAGGAAGGTGTGTACAGCAGATAACCTGAACAATTAAAAAAGAACATTATTTAAAATTGATTCTGAAATATGAATAAATATAGTAATGATTTAAAATAAATGTAATCACTTCCAGCCACTTACCATTGAGTTGATTATCCACAAAGTAATTTCCATACATACATGTCACGTAGCTGCTCTATTGGTATGTCAGAAGACTAAATGATGTCACACAACTCCTGGCTTTAAAGGCTCGCAATCAGTTAAATCTATTAAATATGTAAAAAATAAAATGTCAGAATTATCAATGTATTCAAGAGTTACATAGAAGAGTTGAAAAAAACAGCTATTTTTAATATAAAAATAAGCAAACAAACATTAAAATTTTAGTTAAGCTTCATTTTCATATGTATTAATAAAAATTAAACCATATGCTAAGAGAAATATAACAACTTCTTTTAAAAGAAATGGTTTATTTAAAATTGTTGCATTTTTTAAAATTTAACATTCGGTTTAGCAAAAATAAGTGTGTTAGTTACAGCTTAGATAGAACTGCTGTTTATATAAATGACATTCTAGATGTTAATGCAAATAAATTAATTGTAGTAGTGTGATTTGATTTGTGTAAAGCTGTGGATTTGAGTATTGTGTGTTGTTAAGATATGTACTTTGAATGAGCAATGGTGTTAAATTGCCCCAATTAAAAATAATTCTTAATAAGGAAATATTACAAAAGTGAAATCTTAATAAGTTCAAGTTTTATTTGTATATATAAAATCAATTAGTTCTTAAATTGGGGAAGAAATTGTTCATCATCACAATAATACAAGATAAAATTTACTATACAATCACACAAAAAATTATAAATAACACATCATATATACAGTATTGTTATTACATATTATATTATATATCCAGGGTGGCCAAACTCTTTGATAGTTTGAGCCATTTTTCAAAATTTGAAATTTTTCGCGAGCCGCAATTAAATACATATTAAAAAGGTATGCAAAAAATTCCAGATACAAATTATATCCTTAGCAAGAGTGATGCAAATTGTTTCCTCCAGAGCACAATGTCAACTGTCCGTTGCAATGATAATTTACAAATTCAAAATCGGTCTGAAGTCAGTCGATAACGGACGATTACGCCACTGTTTATGTTCGTTCGCGCAGTTTTCAATGAGTCATATCATTCTTAACTTGGACGGAAATGAAATTTGTTACAACGTTGCACTTAGTCTTTCATATTTGTTGTTAGTAATTTAAAAGACATTTTGAAACACATACGGAACGATAATATTTTTTAAAAATATAATAACACAAAAATGAAAAGGGAACTC